TTACATAATAGTTTTTATAATTACATTTCCCAGTGAGTCGACTGACACTGGGAACTGACAGCTGTATCCACAAACTTTTTGTTGCTAGGTAACAAGTATGTGGGTGGTTTAACTTAACATTCGTAGTAACTACATGCAATAAATATTTTTTGAAAAACTGAATGTGTAATCTATTTCATATTACACCGTTTTATATTACACTACATAACATTCAAAGCACGACTACTTGACACAAATGTATTCAGGTAATATACAGTACATTTGCCTGAATACTCACACCACAGTATTTTAGATAGATATATTCACTCTAACACTTCAGAAAAAATACACACCTGAACTCACACAGACATTATATATACACATACACATGGCATAACAGAAAAATACAGATCAGAGGTTTCACTTATACTTAGATGCACACATTCATTCAGTTGACAGGATATATTTATGTATTCACTGAAACAACGTGTAGATATACAGATTTATGCACACTGAAACCAAACAGAAATACATAAATGTATTAATGCAGAAGTAAAAAAAACAAAAAAACAACATATCTGCCAATACATATACACACTGATAATATCCCTAAATATTAGGCGTGTGCAATTCGTTTAGTTCTGAATGTACATTCGTACTAATTTCGTGAAATTCTGACATTCAGATGCTTTCAAATGTCTAAGGTGCAAAAGTTTGGTAGTTCGGAGGTGCCAAACCGAACCGCCGAAGTTCGGAATTGCTGAAATTCCAATATGCCTCAGAGTTCTGAAAAGTGGCAAAGCAGAGAGAGGGAGGGAAAATCACGTGAACGATGACAGGAATCTTGACCAATAAGCTACTTCCTGGAACATGGAGCCCTCTAGATGTGTAAGTGGTTGTGGTGGCAGTCCTTGCACTGGCAGCCCTCTAGATGTGTAAGTGGTTGTGGTGGAAGTCCTGGCACTGGGAGCCCTATAGATGTGTAAGTGGTTGTTGTGGCAGTCTTGTCACCAGGAGCCCCCTGCCCATTAGAGTTATGGGCAGAGGGCTACCATTTACACATCTATAGGGCTCCTGCCTCCCAGTCTAGAACTGCCACCACAACCACTTACACATTTGTAGGGTTCCCAGTGCCAGGATTGCCACCACAACCACTTACACATCTGTAGGGCTCCCAGTGCCAGGATTGCCACCACAACCACTTACAAATCTATAGGGTTCCCAGTGCCAGGACTGCCACGACAACCACTTACACATCTGTAGGGCTTCCACTGCCAGGATTGCCACCACAACCACTTACACATATATAGGGCTCCCAGTGCCTGAACTGCAACCAAAACCACTAACTAGACATGTGCAATTCTTTTCATGCAATTCGGACATTGGGATGTTTACGAAGTTCAGAATTGCCGAAGTTCGGTAGTGCAGAACTGAACCAAATGCCATGTATCTGAATTGCCGAAGCAGACACATTTTTCTACTTACCTGAATTTCCTAACCGAACCAAATTTATTGCCCATGCACATCCCTAGTAAATATATATGTGCATTCACTCTGACAATCAATACATGTTATCCTTGACATTACCCACACATTCAAATATACATTTTAACTGGCACAATAAATGAGGATACTCATGAACTCAAAAAGACACAATAAACAAAACTTCACACATGCATACATGCTGATGGTATACACACACAATATTCAAACATGCACTTGGAGTAAGCATCAATAAGGACATTCAGACACAAAAATATACAAAGTATTCACTACACCAAATGCAAGTCCACAAAGCATTCATACTGGTACAAAAGCATTCATACACTCATACACATATATACACACATAGGTTTACAATGACACTATAAATAAATACACTCCTATAATTTACATATATACATTTCAACAGCTGTTACAGTTGTCAAAATAAAATCAAAAGTGTAAAAAAGATGTATCCGTATTAATGCAATGTTTAGCAACAATAAAATAAATTAGTATTTGAATTTAATTTAGGCATACATGTTTTTATTTTTTTTTTATTTTTTTACTACTTTGATTTGAAAAGATTATTAACAGATCCTTTAATAAAATCACAAAACCTTAACATTTTCAAGAAACTGAAAATTACACTTGGGAAAGTTTATAGATTGCTAATGTTAGGAAAGCCATTATCAAGCAAGTGAACTAAAGAGGCATAATAATGAAGTGAAAAATTGATTGATGTACAGTCATTGTTGCAAGAATGTGACATGCGTCATTACCAATCACAGACCAATAATGGTAATGGCGAATATGGGGGAGGAAAGCTGAATTGCTCACAAGATTCCAAGGCCGTTATCCTGTTAGTCACAAAGGAAATGTACGTACTAATGGTACATGAGTGCCTCGGTATCCCCATGTGATACCTCAATCACCGAAATCATTACTTGCTGCTAGTGGCTTACAATCTGCTGCTAATGATGTGAGTTGGGAAGATGCAACTTAAATTACTTCATTTATTAACATGTGCACAAACAATTGGTCATGGCATTGTTGCTGAAACTGTGGAACAATATTTGACTGTCTGATGAGAATATTTTCTAACACATTGAATATTCATAGGTAACATTACTAAGTGCTTTGCCTGCTAAATTGTTTGGACCAGAAATAAACCTGCTTTCTTAAAGCAGGGGATTTCAAATATACAAGTGTTTAATTGCAAAAGTGGCAAATGGTACTAGCAATATATAGTGAAATAATTCAATTCATTTCACTATAATATGTAGAAAATATTGAAACTAGCAGCTGTAACATTTAACTGTATAACCTTTCCAAATACACCATGAGAAATGTAACTCCAACCCAAATAGTGTAGCGCTTATATCAAAGTGAATGGCGTGCAATAAATTACAATGTGCCTGTACCTTTAACAGATCTCTAAATAGTAAGCCAATTGATGTAAAAAGAAATGTACCATAGTGTAAAATTGTATAAAACTGGCTTTCATTTCTGTGATATTCTGGCTTCTTTTGACTTTGGCTTGTTCTGATGTTCCTGCGTTCCTTTTATTTTGCTATTAGTCCGGCCACTCTGAGGACTGGTATAGGTTCTTTTCTCTGTCTCTATTGCTCTGGTGGATTTATATACTGCGTGTTGGGTATATTATTACACAGAATACATACAACCCTTCATGGCAATGGAATTCTCTGGTGACAGTGTCCTTTTTCAGCAGGATAATGCACCCTGCCACACTGCATTGAACAGGAATGGCTTGAGGAACATGACAAAGAGTTCAAGGTGTTACCTTCGCCTCAAAATTCTGCAGTGTTCCCACGATGCTTCCTGTCACTTTACACAAAACTGCCGAATTGCATTCTAACTGAATGAGAACAGTCTGTTCGTTTTTTTTAGAACGCAATTCGGCACTTTATTCAGATCGGAATTTCATTCAAATGAATGAAACTCCGATCCCATTCATGATGTGGCTGCATCTTGCAGCCGCTTAGTAGATAACTCCCTAATTCCCACGTTATCAGGGAGTTATCTACTAAAAGGCTGAAAGACCTAAATTGGTCTTTCAGCCAACTTTACTAAAACTAAGTAAAAATTACTTAGTATTAGTAAATAATATGCCCCTACTCGCTATACCGCGAGTAGGGGCATGTCTGGTAAACAGTGAGCAGCCTGTGGCTGCTCACTGTAAAACAAAACAAAACAAAAAAACTAAAATAAGGGGGGAGACCTAATGTCCCCCCCGGCCCCCACCCCTGAGAGGTGGGTGGGGGTCATAATGATAATGGGGGGGGGACCTACTGCCCCCCCCGGCCCCCACCCCTGGGCGGCGGGTGGGGGCCATAATGATAATGAGGGGAGGGGGACCTACTGTCCACCCCCCCTCTGGCCCCCACCCCTGGGCAGCAGGTGGGGGCCATAAAGACAATGGGGGGTGACCTTCTGTCCTCCCCCCCCGCCCCCACCCCTGGGCGGCGGGTGGGGCCAAATGATAATGAGGGGGGGGACCTACTGTCTACGTCCCTAAATCAATTGGCAAGTCTGATTAGATTTACATCTGAAATAAGTTCTGAGAAGGTACATTACTTGGATGTACAGATCTCGATCAGGGAAGTCATCAATAACAATACAAGAGATCAAACAATAACAATCATCAAACAGCAGCTTGATTGTTATGCACTGATGAAAACTCGGACTGAGTTGAAACGCGTCTGCATTACTGTGATTTTGTGTGTCACCATATGGGACCTGCACAGTTACTTTTTAACTTTTATTCATAATAAATTTGTTTATTTTTTACTATCATTCGCTGCTTTTCCTGATTCTGGGGGACATCATCTGAGATTCTCCACATAGCCTTCTGAGGCACCTTTGGGCACTATATACAGAGCCTGGCACAGCTCTGAAATTTGTGAGTGTATTCAATCACTTCTATTTTTTTTCATTTACATATACAGTCTATACTATGTACTATGTTTTGTTGTTATAGGAATTTACCATATGGAATATTCCCTACATACATCTGTATATGTATAAGTATTATATTTACTATTTCTATATTTTTTTTTTTTATTGGTACACAGAGAGTGGTGTGTGGATATGGCACTTGTTGTCCAGTGCCCTCATTTTATAACTATGCTCAATGTATGACAGGTGGAGTATTGCCTCCATCAAAATGTAATGTCCTATCCCTTATATAGTACAGTATACCAAAACTTTCCCACGCTGTGTAAAATGGCACAGAGCACTGTGATTGGATGGAAGTCAAACACTGAATAGAAGTGCCTTTCCCATAAGACACAAAGTATACAATAGACAAAAAGAAATAGAAAGTGTAGCGCTTATATGTAACAATTTAAATAGTAGTTACCTTAAAAATAGTAATCTACATGCAGATACAATCTATATAGTGTAGGCTTGAATCTCATATGTTTTACTTGTCAGTGAGAATTACGTGCAGGTAACGAGCACTCTGCACTGGAGATATCAGTGACGTCACCTCACACATAGGAGGCTTGACCCGCACACTATGCCTGCTATACGAGGCTTGCACCTCATACGTTTTACCCGTTAGTGGTAATTACGTAGAGGTAACGAGCACACCTGACATTTGTTCCCTCATTAAAGAAGCTATTAAAACGTGGACCGGCAAACCAGGAATACACATTCATTTCTTCTACCCAGCTGAGGAAACTACACGCCGTAGTGAAACGCGTCCTGGGATTTTTACACGGACATTGTTCCTTTTTTATTGTTTTACTAGTTTTTAGTGTATTCAATAAAGTATTCTACTTTTAATCCTGGTGGCCGGTATCATCTCATATTTGAGGGAGTGTAGTCCCTTACTACACATCGCACGACTGCAGAGCCATAGGGGCTCTAGGTTTATAAGTACATCTCTTACTTACCATTTCTCTTATTTTAACATCAAACTGTTGTGGTTTTCTCCAACTTCCTTAGGACCACACACAGATTTCTCCAGAGCTAGGTTTTTAGCTCTATGTTTGTGAGTGTTCCATAGATTATTTTTATTATTTATATTGTTAAAAGATTTTACACTATGTGGGTATCTCCTTTGTACCATTTCAGAGTTTGATTCGTAATATATGCAATATGATAATTAAACAGGATTCATAGGAAAGTGAAATGGGTTCAAGGCATTAAAATGGATCTGTCACATTTGCCACAATATTATGATTAGAGTAAATAAATAGAAGGTATTGCTTGAATTTTTGTTTTGTTATATGTGATTTCATACTTTGTATTTTGAGACAAAGGCAGTGAGTTTGTCAGGTAGATTTAATAGAAGTATTATTGATCTAAAGATCTACAGATAGAGAAGGATGCAAACTTGGGGAAGACAAGTCAAGACATTTTTGTTTTTAAAAGGTTGAGTTTTAAAAAGTAAACAGCCATCTTGTTGGATATGGACGAGAAGCAGCTAGTTACACAATTGTGGTAGGAACGCAAGAGATCATAGAAAGAGTGGTAGATCTGGGTGTCGTTGGCATAACATTGGGCACAGAATGGAACCTTGAAGGACACCAACAGAAAGAGAGGTAGCAAAAAGGGAGATGCACCAAGAAGAAAATACTAAAAGAGTGTGCTGTAAAAGGTAAAAATAAAACCATGGAAGAGCAGAGTCAGGTAGACCAAGGTTGTAGCGGGTTGGGAGAAGAGGCTGGTGGTCTACATTGTTGAAAACAGCAGAGAGATTGAGAAGGAGTACTTGAAAATAATGATCTCAAGACGTTGTGGAAATCAAATACCTGTTTAATTTTTAGACACTTAGAGCAGTGTCAATGGGGGTGTTAAAGCCAGAAACCAAATTGGGAAAGGTCAAGTAGGGAAAGGCAAGTGTGTGCATTACACCATAAATACACACATGATTATACATTCTCTTGCCGAGGCAATACAAATCCTGGAATCTCAGCCACTTTATGGTTTAGGTGAATGTCAGGTCAGCAGACAGTTTTTGGATGGGAATCAAAATTCTATAAAGGAAGGAGATTCAGAAAGAAGTTCAAGCGTTTTTCATTTGTTTCTATGCATTAAAAACCAAGAAGAATTTTTGAAGGAATCATTAAAATACATTTGTTTTTTACAACACGCAAAGGACACACTTAAAATAGGTAGATGAACTTCAAGTGCACTGCAATCTCTCATTGTAACAATGATGCAAAGGAGTGCGCAAGACTTCCTATTAATCAGCAAACAGGAACATCAGATATAATCAGTTCAACTATCGTAGATATCAAGGCACTGAAACGTATAAAAAGCATTAGCGTATTAACATATCAAAACATGTCTGCCAAAAACCAGTGTAAGATCAGATGAGGCAGTCATTGATAATGATAAAAGGACTAGGCTGCAAATGTGTATCAGAACTAGATTGCAATAGTAGATACATACATAACCAGTAAATATCTTGATAGCAGCATAGCTGCTAAGACTGTGAAACAAATAAGGCAACACCAACAATTCAGCATACATGGCGGAACATATCATTAAAAACTGCAAATACATTTTATAAGCCCTTATTTGAGCCAGTGAGATAAAACTAATAACCCAGTTATAAAGCCTATAAATATTGTTATTTGTAGGTGCAGTAATAATATGATTTGTAAATATCCACTGGTTTAAACCTCTAAATTACAGCTTTGATTTACAGCAGAGAAGGTCAGGAGAGCATACCAGCATACTCATTCAGAGTTCTGTAAGATTATCAGTGTTCCCAGGACTGAAGAACATCAGTGTGCAAGACAACCTGGATACATTGATTCTAACATCCAATTATCTGCATCTATAACTTCAAAACCAATGGAGATTTACCATTAACATTAAACCCAGCCATGCGTATATAAAACTGTTTCTGCAAGCATAGGTCAATTGGATTTTGCAGCCATACATTTGTTTTGGCAAAGCGCATTTGCAAACTTCATATTACAGGCAGCCTTTGCTTTATGAAAATATGTATTTATTGTATCATTTTATTCCTGCAGTCCCTTGTTTGCTTTTGATATTGTTTAATAATAATCAGTTTATAGACATGCATAAAGATTTTGTTCCCAAGTGTAAGCCACACATTGCCTCTATTTTAGAGATTGTTGCCCTGTTATGCCTTTTTTTTTTTTTTGTTACTTCCCTTAAAGGTGATTTCATAAAACACTGGTTTTGGTTAGAGTAACCCTTTCTGAGCTTGTCTGCCCCCATGAAAAAAAAAAAAAGCTAAACAAATTAAAATGCTAAAACCCACCTCCGTTACATTGTCAAGCCTAAGTTCCCCTGCAGTCTTCTCTTTCTTGCCTGACGGAGGAAGGCAGGTAGGACAGATTGAGGAGAGGACAGATGTGGCCCACCCAGTCCACCATTGGCTGTATGGCACTGGCGTCAGATGCCAGTTTTGCACAGAACTGACATTATCCAGGCCAGATGTTTGTTCTGGGCTGGCTTATAATGCTCCCAGAGGTGGAGTTACACCTCTGACAGCTAAAGGGTTAAGTGGTCATGGTTTATGGACTAACCCTTTAACCTGAAAACCTGAGTTCAGGTAAAATGCATGAGTGGTTTCCTGGATGGCAGTGTGGTGGCATTCATATTTGGGTTATTTTATTTATTTATTTTTTCACTGGGTTTGAATGAAGTTGTTTGTGTGTTGGTGAATTTCTTGGCCATTATAAGCAGGCTTTCGATTAAAGGGCACTATATTGACTAGAACAACTACAGCTTAATGTAGTTGCTTTAGCGAGTATAATTACATGATTTTCCGATTACATGATGTAAAGTCATGATTTTATTAATGACACAGATACACGGAGGCTCAGAATGCAGGTTTAAAGCTGATCAACCACCGCAGAAAACACATGAGTAATAGATCGAAAATAAAATTCATGAAAACGTTGATTCCCACGACCAATCAGCCATCCTCATAAGGTCCTCCAAACGTGCGCCCGATGCCAACATCGATGAAGTAGCGGCTCCCCTAGCCGAATGCTCTCCAAAAACAGAAACGTCGATACTTGGTCCAGAGTCCACTTCAACCATCGGGACAACGTAGTGCTCGCAACTGGGGCAAAAGGGAGATGAAAAGATAAAAATTGTGGTGTAGATGCGGAACGATGCGTCCTGGAACAATCTTCATATTCGCATAAACACGCTACCGGCATAAAGCCGGCGTCGAAGGGAAAAGTGGATACAATACTGACTTAATAGAAGTCTTAGTACGTCTGGACATATTGAAAGTCACACCCTCTGGAGTGTATAATCTGGCATCAAAATCCAAAGCACGTACATCCGACACTGTTTTGCAAGAAATGAGGCAAAAGAGACAAACCAATTTAGCCGACAACTGGCGTAATGTGAGATCCCGGTTAGAAGGCCAGGCAGAGAGAAAAGACAGAACAACTGAGACATCCCAAGTGGATGAATAACGTGGCCTAGGCAGACGCGAGCCACGTAGGAGTCAACATACTAAAGGATGTTGGCCCGCAGGGCAACCGTCAAAATCACGGTGGGTCAAAGATATTGCCGACCAGGTCCAGGTCCATAGCCAGGCACCAGCCAGCCCAAGATCGCCAAGCTGACCCATATGATCGTCTAGTTCCGGGAGCCCATGCGTCCGCCAACAATCGTTGAGTAGTCTCCGAAACCCCCTGGACTTCCCAGGGTCCCCTGAAATCTGCCACGTAATGAGAAGGAGGGATCTTTCCACCAACAGAGGGTGACAACCACCTGCCGGATCGCGAAGCAGGCCTGGGAAAGACAGCAACAGCCTGAGACAATCCACCGACATCTCCAGAAGTTGAGGGAACCACGACTGCATCCCCCAAAAAGTAGCCACAAGCACCAGTTCAGTTTGTTGGCGTCGAATCTGAAGGAGCGTGCATGGAATCATGGAGAAAGGGGGAAATGTGTACAGGAGACCCCCTTGCCACTCTTGCAGGAAAGCTTCCACTGCCTCTACCGCCGGGTCTGGTCTACAGCTGAAAAACCGGGGGAGCTGGTCATTGAGTCATGAGGTGAAGAGGTCAATAACAAAAGGTGGAGCTCATCCAGGTCGAATAAGGGGCCACCCAATGGGTCCGTAAGGGCAGTCCTCGCGTCCGCAGAAGGAGCAGCCCCCAGATCGCCTCCAGACATCTCCGCCTGAGTTGAGAAAAAGAGGTCATTGCCCTCTCAGAGTTGCTCACAGACTCCTCACCAGCCTCCCCACTAGACCGGATTTCTGAGTTGGAGTTGCTCTCTTTTCGTGCTCTCGCACATTTCCGTCGCGCCCGTTCTGCCTGGTGTGGAAAGGCTTTCTTGCAGGGATTGGACACGTTTTCTGGGGCTACCAAAGGTACACCAGTCATAGGGGTTCTTGAGGCAGAGGTGAAGGTATATTTGGCTTTGCGTAAAGCCTTCCTGGGTACCACACCTGAAGCATCTACTGCCTGACACGCGTGACGCGCCGTGGAGCCAGTAAATGGAGCGTCCGCCAGACACATGAGTAGGGCCTGTGAAATAGTTTGAGACAGGGCTGATGACATGGACCCCATGGCCGCCATCATGGCCTCCATAACTGAGCACTGTAGCAGACAGGTCCAATGGGCTTGTGAATGAAGCTCGTTACCGGATCGAACGCATCCAGTAAGTCAAAACCTGCGAACGGGTAAAAACAGCCGAACATGTGGTTACAAATCTGCGAACGCAAAATAGTGTTTGTGAACTGAACGCGGCTGCGAAACAAGTGGTTCA